CAGTGTTGGGGGAGAGAGCCTGGTTCTTCCACCCAGCCCCTGGGCAGTCTCCGAGTGTCCCAGGAGGGACAAGAGACTAGGATCTCTTTGCACCATTTAGCCCATCACTACAGCTCCAAAGCATTTGACATCTGCAAAATAACATCATTAGGGAAGTGTTAACTTCTCCCCACTGGTAGGCCTAGTGCTTGTAATGTACTGTGACGAGTGTAATGTGTTTATGAGAACGTGCATAATAAATTAGCAGAAATAGCTGCATTTTTAATATCGCTTAATATATCAAATTTGCCTCTCAGTAGCCACAAGCTATATTGCAAACACTTCGGCTGACTTGCTTGCAGCAGAATTCCACTATGCTTCCCAGGCTGGAGCCACGTGCAAGCAGAGGAGGAGGCAGAAGACCCCCAGAGTGGATGGTTCATACGTCCCTTTCTGATTTATCCTCCATCATCTGGAATCTAAAGAAAAATGGGGCTTCATGCATCACCAGGCCCCAGACAGAACACAGCACAGGGCCTGTTACCAGATAGTTGTGCAACAAATATTTGTAGAAATGTGGATTCATGAATAAATGAATGGACAAGAGCCTCTCTGTCCACCAGCAACAGTGCTTAGAATTCCTCCCTCCAAATCCCTCCATTGGGTTAAAAATTCCTATTAATATAGAGAAGATTCCATCAGCACAGCCTGACAAGAACTCCTCCAGCAATCTGGGAGGGGTGGAAACTGGGGTACACATTAGGCCAGGGCCAGGGAGGGCCCTTCCTCCTCCAGGATGCGGACACCAGCCAAAGACGCCAACCAAGGACATCCAGCCAAGGGCAACACAGAAGTCATTTCCTTAAAAATGCATGTCACCTACTCATCCTTCTCAGCCAGGAAAGAGGTCATAATACTCATACTGGGGTATATCAGACTCCCCACTGTGGCTTTGCCAAACCCTTCTAGAAATTCCAACATCCCACACACACATACCTGGGGTCAGGCACTCACTTCCCTAATCAAGAATCGCTAAATATGGAGAGTTTATCAGGTGTGTGTTACACGTGCGAGCGGCACGGAGGCAGCTGAACGGGTTGAGAGTCACTGTATTAAACCATTAGCACCTTCTAACCAAGCAATTCTCAACCTTCATTGTGCATAAAAATCACCAGGGTGCTTGTTAAGACACATCCTGAGTCTGCAAGCACAGATTCTGAGTCGGCAGGTGTGAGTCGGGGCCTGGAACCTGTATCGTTAATAGACATCCGGTGGGACAGGTGCCTGGGTCGCCCTTTGAGGAACCCACTTCTACCCCATTGGACAGGGGCCTTTGAGAGGGTCCGTGGGGAGAAGCGGGTGGGGGAGAAAGGAGGGCACAGAGCTCCTGGTGGCCATGACCAAGGGCAGACTCTACCCATTTAACTTTGCCAAGGGCTGCTCCAGCTGCCAAGCTGCCCACCCCAGCATGGGGAAGGGAAGGCAACATGATTGATGCGGTCTGGACATGTCCAGCTGCTTAAAGATCCCTGCACGTGCCAGTCGGTGCCCAGCCCTGGCAAATATTAATACATCCGTTTCTCAGCGTGCTTCCGCCCCAGCGTCCTCACCTGGTCCCGACAGCAGACAGGAAGACAGCGAACAACATCTCACCAGTAGAGAAATCGAGGCAGGCACAGGACGTGTGACGATGGTCTGCACCAGGAAGGCAAGGGCAAGGGAATGACAGTTGCATGCCAGGCACTGTGCTAGGGATTTATATCTGTCCTCGCCTTTCATCCGCACAAGGCTTTTAATCTCCCCCATTTCACAGGTGAGACTGAGGGTCTAAGTTAAGCAACTTGCCCAAAGTCAGACCAGTTGGGAGGAGGTAGACACTGGCTTTTGAATCCAAGTCCATTTACTCCCTGACCCATGCTCGTTCTAGAAACTGCCCAGATAACACCCTTTCTACCGCTTCAGGGGGCCCCATCCCATCTCAGCTGGGCTCATAGCTGGGCAAATCCAGACCTCAGAGTGGATCTCAACTCTGCCTCCTGCCAGGGCTTGGCCCCATTTATGCCATGTGTCTCTCCAGTGGGTGTCTTGGGGTTCCCTGGCTCACTGCTTTGGAGGCTGGGCCCTCCACCCTACTTCTTTGGAGCTTCCCCGAAAGCTAGCTCCTGCAGAGCCAAGAGCTACAAGCTGATCCTCCAAAAAGCAGACTCACAGAAGGTCAAGAGACCAGGCGGAGACCAGGCATGGTGGCTCACGCCTGTAATCCTAGCACTCCGGGAGGCCAACATGGGAGCATTACTGCTTGAGGCCAGGAGGAGTTCAAGACCAGCCTGAGCAAGAGTGAAACTCCCATCTCTATAAAAAACACAAAAATTAGCCACGCATGCTGGCTCGCGCCTATAGTCCCAGCTACTCGGGAGGCTGAGGCAGAAGGATCCCTTGAGTCTAGAAATTTGAGGTTGCAGTGAGCTGTGATCACACCACTGCACTCTAGCTGGGACGACACAGCGAGACCCTGTCTCAAAAAAAAAAGAAAGAAAAAAGAAAAGAAAAATTTAAAAAGGAGACCAGGAGGGAACAGTCGACTACCAGTGGACACAGGCAAAGGACCTTGATGTTAAAGGGCACAGGGTCAGGGGTCAGGATATCCAGGCTCTTGTCCCCAGTCTGCCTCTTTCTAGTCACTTGACCTCCTGAAGCCTCAGTTTCCCCATCTGTAAGACCATAATAACAACCTCTTCCTCCTCAGTAAAGGAATTATGAAATGATGGTTCAGTGTCTGTATTTTAATATCATATCATTACATAATCATTTTGTTATGCAGCCGCCTCTGGCATAGAAAAAGTCACTCTGTGCCTGTTTAAGGATTAATCCCTCCTAAGCATTCCTGGAAATGAGAAACCCATTGTGTCAGCTGCCCTTCCAGGCACTCCTGTCCTTCCCTTGGCCTTTGGCTCTTGGAAGCCTGAATTTTTCATCAGACTGTCCGTAGGAACCCCTGGGCCACTTCATTCCACTGGAATCCCTGAGACTCTTGGTCCACTCTCTCTGCCCTCGTCCTCCTCAGTTTGCACTGCCCCTGTCCAAGAAGCCTCAGGAGGAGCTCTGGGGAACAAGGTTTTTTCTGTATTCCCAATCTGCTCTGCACCCCTGGAGCTCTGTAGGAGTGGGGAGGAAAAAGCAGGAGGGGAAATGGAAAGCATGAAAATGTCAGGACGCCTGGGTTCTAATCGCAGCTCTGCCACCAGCCAGCAGTGACCCTGTGCACGTCCCTGTGTCTGAGCCTTAATTTCCTCACCTGTGAAATGGGAAGTGTATGCCCTGTCTACATTATAGGGTGGTATGAGGAATCAATGAGATGACATCTGTGAACGTCCTTAATGTAGTTCTCAAAGGTCAGCATAACCGCCACCAACCAAGTCAGAACTTACGCAAACATCACCTCTCATCAGTGACTCTCGTCTTCCCAAGGGATGGGAGAAGAGAAAGCCAGCCCTATTGAGCACCTCTTACCTGTCTGGTTCTGCGCTAGATAGCACAGACACTGTTCTATCTCACCGCAAGGCTGTGTAACTGGAATTAGCCCTGTTTCACAGATGAGGAGACTGAGGGTCAGAGAGATCAAATAAACCACCACAGTGACGCAGCTGGAAGCCATGAGGACAAGGCCACTCCCACCCTTTCTCTGCTTCCACCCGTCCATTTCCCCACCCGTTATGGTGGGGAAATGACACTGGTTTGGGGCCCCTCATTCAGACTCACAGAAGGGACCCAGCCAAGAAGATAAGCATCTCTGACCTATCAGTGGAGCGCAGAGAGAAAACAAGATTCCATCCGTGACCAGGGCTCTCCAGGGACACATCTGCACCAGCAGCAGCCGTTCCCAATGGAGCTTCCGGGCAGCAGCCAGGGCTGGGCGGTTTGGGATTTGTTTAGTTATGTGACCATGTGGGAGGCCTGAGTAGGGGGCGGTGCCTCATTCACCACTCCGTGGGAAGGCCGCCTCTGCCCAGGCCCTGCCTGCCCTCACCCTCCTGACCAAGCCTGGTCTGGGTTCTCAGCCATCCTGCTGGTCCTTCAAACCACTCCCTGACCAAGTGAGGAACTGACCCGAGGTTACAGAGAGTGTGTGTGTTTGTATGTGACCTGAGAGGAAGCGTGCAAAGACTGTGCCCACAGTGACCTTATACAGTTGAGGGTGTACGTGTCCTGCCAGTGTGTAAGCAGCCTGTCCCAGCACTCCCAGGAGTGTGACTCCGGTGTCCTGCTAGATGGGGGAGGAATGAGGAGGTTGTGCCTGGGGTACCCTGATCACTTCTATGGGTGTAAGCGTGTGTCTTGTTAGGGGTGCTTGGGGCATAGAAGACTGCGCCCTGGGTATCCTAGACCACGTGTGTGTTGGAGGGTGTACAGTGCAACAACAACCTCAACCAAGTCTGTATGAGCATATGTTTTTGTCTCCCGCAGGTGCGGAGTGGATGCTTCCACCAAGTGTCTCTGCACACGTTTGTGTGTGCTTGCAGTGTCCTTGCACACCTGCGTGTGTCCTGTAAGAGTGAACGGAGCCCAGCATGCGCTGGCGCAGGTGGGGATGCGTGAGTACGCGTCCTGCGGATCCCGGCTCAGCTGGCTCCCCGCTTGTCCTGCGAGTGCGCCCGAGCGGAAGGCGCCCGGGTGGCCTTGCCTGCCAGCGAGTGTGCGCGCGCGGGGTCCCGGACCGGCGTGCGCGCCGGTGCGAGTGCGAGTGAGTGTGGCGCCGCTCGGCTCGCTCCGCTCCGCGCCGCCCGCGCGCGCAGCCCGCACACTCACACTGCTTGGCTGCTACCGGGTGACGCGGGCTGGGCCCGCCCCCTGCCTGCCGGCCCCTGGCACTCACTTGCGCCGGCCGCCGCCGAGCAGGCAGCAGCCGCGTCAGGGCCGTCCGGGGGCGCGGCCGGCGATGCCCGCAGCCCCCGCCGCGCCCCGCCGGGCCTGCTGAGTCGCCCCCGGGCCGGGGTGCGCCCGAGCGGGGCGGCGCTGCCTGCATGACCCTCCGGCGGCGCGGGGAGAAGGCGACCATCAGCATCCAGGAGCATATGGCCATCGACGTGTGCCCCGGCCCCATCCGGCCCATCAAGCAGATCTCCGACTACTTTCCCCGCTTCCCGCGGGGCCTGCCCCCGGACGCCGGGCCCCGCGCCGCTGCTCCCCCGGACGCCTCCGCGCGCCCCGCCGCGGCTAGCGCGGGCCGCCGCAGCCCCTCCGACGGCGCCCGCGACGACGACGAGGACGTGGACCAGCTCTTCGGCGCCTATGGCACCAGCCCGGGCCCCAGCCCCGGCCCCAGCCCGTCGCGGCCGCCCGCCAAGCCGCCCGAGGACGAGCCGGACGCCGACGGCTACGAGTCGGACGACTGCAGTAAGTTTCCAAGTTGCCGACTTCTTGCCCCTTCCCCTCGCTCGGGCTCGCGCTCTCCCAGCCTCGCTGGTCCCCTCGGTCCCCCTCGCGTCGCTCTTGCTCTAGCTCGGCACACAGCCCCCGCCCGCCGGGTCGCGGTCCCCTTGCACGCTCCGTGCGCTCTCCGTGCGCCCTGCAGACCAGCCCCAACACCTCCCCCGACCAGGACCGGAGAGGTGGGAAGTTTGGGGGCGCCCCCTGGGGGTGCCCTATTTCCCAGGCCCGGCTCCCTCGAGCCAGCGCCGCGCCCCCTCTCGGCCCGCCCGCCGGGAGCTCCGGGCGCGGGCGGCGGCTTTTGTTCTCGGGAAGGGTGGAGCTGTGCCCCGGGGAGACACCAGTTGCTACGGGCCGCGCGGCCGCTCCCCGCCCGGCAGCCGCTCCGGGCGGGCCCCGGGCCGAGGGTCGGGGCTGGGCCAGGATGGGGAGGTGGCCCGGGGCTGGGGCCGGCCCGGCCTTCCAGGTGGGCCCGGCGGCCCGCAGAGCGCAGCGGCTTTGCTGGCGCGCGGGCCGAGGACCAGGAGGACGGCGGGGCCGCTTGTCCTTTGGAAAAACCTTGGCGGTTTCTCCTCCCGCTTCCGTGGACCCCGCCGGGGCGCTCGCCAGGGCCGCGGGCCTTCGCCCACCTGTTACGCCCGCTTCCCCGGGGCAGGAAGGGCCCCCAGCCCGCGCCCCTCCTCCCGGGACTGAGCCCGGGGCCCCAGAGAGCAGGCAAGCGCCTGAGTCTCCGAGGCCGAGGCCCGGCCGGCGGGCGCTCCGGGCGCTCCGGGCGCCTTTTCCAGTCCCTGAGGGTGTCTGCCCGTCTCGACCCGGGACTGGCTGGGAAACTGAGGCGGGAAGAGGTCTCGGTCCAGTGAGGAATCCCTTTGCGCCGGGAGGCGGTGGGGGTGGGGCTGCTGCGTGGAAGGCCCCCCAGCCCAGCTGTGGCCCCAGCCGTGTCACTCAGACTTGGGAAACCAGTGTCAATCCCCCCAGCGCCACCTGGGATGGGACCTTGCAGGGCCGGGGCCGGTCCGCTCGGGCTTCTCCAGGGCCCACTCGGCCCCCTCCCCCGCTCAGCAAGGGTGTCTGCGCCTGGCGTGGGAACTCACCAGGGCCTCCGAGCTCGGGGCCTGGAGTTTCCCCCAACATAATGTGCCTCTGGAAGCTGAAGGTGGGGAATTCCGGTGCCCCCCCGCCCCGAGTGCGGACCCCTCATAGCCCTGCCTAGGGAGGCCCGTCAGCAGTGGGGGGTCAGAGCCGGGCCTCTGTGGGGAAACTGCCTGCTGTGCACTTTCTGGAGGCCTGAACCACAGCCCTCTGGCCAGCGCCTGGCACAGGGAGGGCCTGCCCTGGGGCATGGGGGTGGAGAGCAGTCCTCTGCCTCCACTTTCCTGCCAGCTTGGGGAAATTGGGTCGGGAGAGTTTATCGTCCGCAGAGCTGTGCCCTGGATCCGCCCCCTCCCCCAGCGCCTGGCACCCTGTGCAAAGCTCACCCCTCATTTGCTGTGCTTCTGGGCAGGCCCTAACTGGGACCCAAGTCACCCCTTTGGCTGCCCTGAATCCCAGGCCTCCCCCAGAGGAAGGGGGTGGGGAAGTTGGTTCCATTTCCAGCATCCTGGCTGCTGCCCAGAGGGAGTGAGCAGGCAGGCCAGGGCAGTGCTTCAGGCCACCTTCCCGGTGCCACAGAGAGCCCTCTGGATGGCATATGGCCGAGAGGTGAAATATCTGGTCATTTCTTTTGGCGGTCTCTGAACCCACAGGCAAGGAGGGGACTAGCAAAGCTTCCGACTCAGGCCAGCAGCCCCAACTCCAGTCCATCAGCTCAGCAGTCCCTCACGGGGCACCGTCCTGGCAGCAGGGAGTGGGGCAAAGGAGAACAGGGCTGTGTCCCTGGACTCGGCACACACATGTCCTAGCAGGGGACGGACTCACGTGGGGTTGGCAGTACAAGGCAGTGCGGGACGCAGCTGTGCCAGCTTGTACTGCAGGCTAGCCACACCCGTGTCACCAGGGCACACCAACAAAATGCTGAAGGTGTGGCTGAGCCCAGGCCGGCTTGGGCAACCCACGGCCCTTTCAAGGGACGGCCCACCCTGGGCCTGGATCCCATCAGAGGTTGAGCAGACATCCAGGCGTGGGAGCTTGGGAATCTTGGCTCCTGTCTGTGCGGGGAGCAGGTTCTGGGGCGGGACTGCCTTCCACCCTGCATCCCAGGCTGTGCCCCCCTCTGGGCTGTGACAACCAGATCCCTGGAATAAGCGTAAATGATTCAAGCCAGATGGTTCATTACGGCTTTAGCCAGGGTTATGCTATTTGCTGCCCTAATTATTGGATTATCTCTGTTCTGAAGGAAAGAAATGAGGGCGGTTGCTCTGTTGTCCGAGGCGGAGAGTGAAGTGCTGTTTATTTACTCCACCTCCGCCCCCCCTTCTAAGCCCCTCCTTTATTAAGTCATGTCGGAGCACAAGCACACACGCACGTGTTGCCAGCAGATCTCGTGGAGGGCGCTGGTGGGGAGGGGAAGCAGAGAGCATCGGGTGAGGAGTACCACCCGCTGCCTGCCCCTGGTCGGCCTGGGCTGGCCTGTGCCACCCGCTGCCCTGCAGAGTGGCCCAGTGCCCCTCACCCCGCACACACTCCTCCTGCCTGAGCGGCCCTCCCGCCCGATCCCCGCCTGTGGAAACCCAGTCCCTCCTTCAAAGCTGTAATGACCAGGATGCTTGGGTTGCAAGTAACAGAAAACCAACGCAAAGTGGCTTAAACAATGAGGACAGCAGAGGTCGTGCGGCACCAGGCACGTTGATCCAGCGGCACCTCAGCACCATCGGTGGTGATGGTTCTATCTTTCTACTCAGCTGTGCTCTTTTCCTCACAGGCTGAAAATCAAGGCCGATTTCCTATCCTCAGGGATGCACGGGTGAGGAGAGTCCAGGGACACGATGCTGTCATTCTCCATCAGCCGCACAGCACCCTTACGGTCCAGGGTGGCTGCTGCGGGTCCAGGCATCACACAACAGTAGGGTCCTAGGTGTGATAAGGACCAGTTTTCTCCCCCATATGTCAGTTTAAAAGTGAGGAAGCCTCTCCCAGAAGTCCCCAGGAGACCTGTCCTTTTGTCCCATTGGCCAGCATTGCATCACGTGCCCGCGCGTAAGCCTGCCTCTGCACGGCTCTCCCTGGGGCTGGCTCAGGCCTGTCGCATGGAGATCTGGGATGAGGACAGAGTGGAGGGACGGCTGTTGGGTCTGCCACCGAGGCTCTCCTCGGCAGTAGGTCTCGTGCCAGTCCCCATGGGCCATGGTTCTTCCTTTGAGCCCAGAACCTCTTTAGGCCTCGGTCATATTCTGCCCAGAACTGCATATTCTGCCCAGAACTGCCCAGAAGTGCATATTTTTATGCACTCAACATTACAACACCAACTATGTGTCAGGCACTGTGCTGGGAACAGAGATACGGGAATGCCTGACCTCGGGGTATTCAGGAAAACCTAGGATGTGGCCCAGCAGTGAGGGACAGGGAGGTGGAAATACAAACAGGAAGTTCTGGCTTGCACAGAGGGCACCCACAGAGAGGGTGGGAGGAGAGAGGAAGCAAGCTGGCAGAGTGGAAGGAGGAAGGGAAGGTGCCCCTGGCAGAGGGACATCTGTGTGCACAGGTCCTGAACGCAAAACAATAGAGCCAAGTGGCTGAAACAAGGGAAAAGACTGATGATGAGGCCAAAGTGGTCATATCCCAAAAGGTCTTGAATGCTACACCAAGGAGGTTGAACTGAGTCCAGGAGGTTGTGGAGCACCTTTGAACCATTTAAAGCAGAAGAATGAAAAGATTTATAAAAGCTGTGACCTTCTGCCTCTGAGCTCCTGGGAAGCAGGGATGTACGGCTCATTCCTCTTTGTCCCCCCTGCAGTGCCTGCCTGGCTCAATGCCTCAGTTTCCCCAACTGCAAAATGCTTACAGCACAGTCTTGATAATTTTCTGTGGTTCTTGCTACAGTTTTTTTTTTAAAACCGTTTGAGAGGCTGACATTTTTCTTCAAAAAAAAAAATCACCGGAGGGCGTGTGGGTCAGGAGCATCCAGGTGCAGACCAAGGTCGTTACTGTGCTGTCAGTCTCCACCAGCCAAGCCAAGGGAGGTTCAGCCTTGGAGGAACCGACAGGGGCTTGAGCTCGATTTTCTCTGAATTAGCCCCATTAAAGCTCCATAATTATCAACAAGCGGGTGACAAGTCTCAAAGGCCCATTAGTGACCAATCCTCATTATTTTTCCAAAGATGTAAACTGCAGTGGGGCATGTGATCCGAACGCGCCAAGGGCAGGGCAGGGCAGGATGCTGTGGCTCACGCGGAGATACACCTTCCCCTGCCCTTGGAACCCCCTCGGCCCCTCCACAAGCCCTGGCTGCTTCTCCAACTCAGAGGTCCCTCCGGGGCGCGCCAAGCCCCACTCTCCTTCCCCAAGAGCAACTCCGCTTTTCTCTCTTTTGTCTCTTAGTTGGATCCTCCTAAGATTTCAGCTGAACAAAGTGGCAAACAGAAAGTTTTTGGAGGCCACTAGGCTTTAAGGTGGAAACTATCAGGATGGAAGTGAAGAGACCCGGCCTCTGTGTCCCACTCTGCCGGGCCACCCTGACCATCTCATCTCACCTCCTCTCTCTGAGCCTCATTTCTCTGAAAGGGAAATGAAGACTTCGGGCTGCGAGCTCCCTAAGAGAGATTTCACACTGGCAAGTCTCTCCACATTGTGGCCAAGCTTCTATTTATGAACTGTCATTTCGTACAGAGCTTCCACTGGAATTCAAAGAAATCCATCAGTCCCTTCCTGGTGACACACTGGGCTTGCTGTTCCTTCCCAGGAAGTGGCAACAGGTGCTGGCTTTCCGCTGATCAGCACCCGAGCCCTCCTTAAACGGGGGTGTCTGCAGAACCCGTGGCAGGGGCTCCTCTGCCCTCCTGGAGCTGAGGTGCCCAGTGGGGAGCGGGCAGCCCCTCCGCCTTGCTGGCTTGTGCTTCTCGGGGAGTGGGAACCAGGCAGAGCCATAGAGTGACATTGGGGCATCACCCCAGTCCCCTCTCCTGAGCAACTGGAGAGCAAGTTGGCTTGAAGGGAACAGCCACGTGCACCTGCTCTTTGCTGGCCTCACAGGCGTGACCAAGGCATGGTCCCTGCCTCCGAAGGCTAACATGTTGGGGGAACAAACCCCAGGTCGGCCTGAACAGCGGAGTGGTTTGCTATCATGTAAAGATACGAGCTTTGGAAAACATCACTACAAAAGCATGGACTTGATGAATCTTGGGCCTGTGGCTGCTGGTTGTTACAGGAGTGGTGAGATAGACTCCCCATACAGCATCCTCGCCCGCCTACTTGCACAGGTGCGAGCTGGGATACAGGCGGCAAAAGGCTGGATGCACTTATCACTAAAGCACGTGCGCTCTAGTCGGGAAACAGTACTTTAGGCGTCACTCAAGACCTATTGACTCTTAGTTTTGGCAGACTTCTAACAAGTATTATCACCTGGTTTCATGAAAGAAACTATTAAAATGGAAAGAGCTGTTTGTGCTACCAGAGGCAAGTGCTCTAATAGGAGTCTCAAAGGAGGAGGCAGAAAAAGGAAGCAAACTGAAAAGAGAGACCACCTGGTGGAGGGACCGCCTCGCACCCCCTTCTGTATCTGGGCTACGGCTGTGACAGACGAAAGAGTAATCGTAGCCATAGCAACAACGCAGGTTGTCGAGAAAAGCTTAAGTGACCATTTGTATATTCTGTTCCCAAAGGCAGGGAGGGGAGTGATCCAGTTTTGAACGGTTTTATTCCAGAATGGGTCTCAGAGGGGCAAGTACAGTTCTCTAGAAAACTCTCCTAAATGGACCTGCGCCTTCTATAATTATCTCCCGAGCACTTTCTATAGCCCGGGCGCTGTGTGCTGGGAGGTGGGTGCCATTGTGGGCTCGATTTTGCAGATGAGGAAACTGAGGCATGATGAGGTTAGATAAGCTGTCTAAGGTCACACAGCAGGGAAGTGCCACGCTGGGATTTGAACCCAGGAGACGATGTCAGAGGGCAGGTCTCGCACCCCACACCACGCTGCAGGCAGGGACGGGGACGCGAGACACGCGCCTCACCCCGTGCGGGGACGCGGGAAGGAAGTCCAAGGTGGCACGTCATCACCTCAGAGTGAAGGGCAGCTGCAGACACAAGGAGCTCAATTTGCCCACGTCCCTGCAGACCCAGGGAACTTCGCTGTGCCTGGCCCCAGGGCCAGCCCAGGGTGTGCAAACCTTTTCTGTAAGGGCCAGATTCTGAATATTCTCAGCTACGCAGGCCACGTGGTCTGGGCTGTGTGTCCCCAGCTCTGCCTCGGCAGTGGCACCGCAGGATATAAACAAATAGGCACGGTCAGATTTGGCCAACGGGCCATAATTTGATCTAGATCCATGTTGGGAGTGTCGCTCAAACCCCTGGCCTGACGAACAGAGTTGTGTGTGGCCCCTCCCTCACCCCTGCATCACTCCAGTCACTAAGCCCTCACTTACCAGTTGGCCAGTGGTTGGAATGTCCCCAGCCCCAGCCCCACTGTGCCATTGGCCAAGTCCTACTCATCCCTCGTGGCTCAGGTGAAACATCCCCTCCTCCAGGAAGCCTTCCCTGATAGTCCCAGTTCACGGGGGACCAGGCATCCCTCCTTGGGCTCCCCACAGGTCCTAGCTCACCAGACTCTATTATCGACAGTTCTTTCCACATGTTCCTCACAGTAAGCTATGTAGGGGACCCTACCGTCTGGGTATCTTCAACCCTAGACTTGGCATATTATAAACACTTGGTAAATAATGAATGAAGGAGACACTAGTTGACCAGCCCAGCAGCCCAGGAGCAGGCACTGGGCTTCTGAAGACATCTGGGATTGTGCATCTTGCTGTGTGGGGCCTGCCCCCAAGGACTGTCCCTCCCCATCACCTCAGCCTTTGTGCTGGGAGCCACGTCTGCATGGAAGGCCACAGCTGCTGAGTGTGATTGTCCCTGGGGGGCAGCTGCGCTGGCTATTGCTGCACCCTTTGCCTGGCCCTTGGGAATCGCGGCTGCCTTTGCGAGACATGGGAGCAGCCACGTGAGGACCCAGCTGGCTCCTTGCAGCCAGCCCAGGGTCCCCAAAGGACCAGAGAGATTGAGGAGCTGGCGTCCCATGTGCTGCCTTGGGGGCAGGAGAGTGGATCAGCTGGTCTGCATGGCGGGGCCTGCACCTCTCAAAGCCCTGTCTCCTCTGCCTTCTCATGCGATCCTCGAGACATTTCCCAGGCGAGGGAAACCGAGGCACGGAGCCCCGACTGGCAGTTGCACAAGGAGGCCAGGAACTCCTTTAGCCGGTGCCTGGGTCACGTGGGCAGCACACTGGGGCAGCCGCAGGTGACTGGGGAGACCCACCCAGCCTTGCTGAGCCTCAGCTCCTCATGGGAAGAATATTGTCACTCTCCAGCGTTGGGTGGGGCTGGGATGATGGACAGAGGGATTGGCATACGGTAGGTGCTTCGTTGGTGGCAGTCACCATGGGGACTGTGGCACCTACCCAGGGCAGGCTCATCTGGCCACACAAGGGTAGGTGACGTTTCTCCACGCTGCGGCTGACGCATGACCTGTGCCCTTCTCTGTCTGCAGCCGCCCTGGGCACGCTGGACTTCAGCCTGCTCTACGACCAGGAGAGCAACGCCCTCCACTGCACCATCAGCAAGGCCAAGGTAGGCCCCACCCGCCCCCGCACCTGCTGCAGGGTCCCCAAGGAAGGGCCGGGTCGAGGAGGCCAGCCCTTCCCCCGTTTCCCGACCGGGCCTCGTGGTGTCTGTGCCGTGTGGGGTATAGGAGGGAGTTCTTGCCTAACCCTTCTCGGCTGCCCACGCCCCAAAAAAGCCCCTTGTGCAGTCAGGCCTTGGGGGGAAGGAGTAGAACAAGGCTAAGTAACGGAAGCCGGTGGGAGGACGAAGGCCGGGACCGAGGCCCCCCAAGCCTGGGCAGGGGCGGTTGATAGAGGGAAGAGGCAGGGCGGGGGCAACGTGTCTGTCCTGCAGGCCAAGGGAGAGAGGGTGGGGCGCCGATGGCCTGAGGCGTGCAGTTCTCCGTGGCATCCAAGGGATCGCTCTTCCAGCGTGTCAGGGCCTGAGCCCAAAAGGCCCCCTGAGCCTTACTGTCTGGGCTGGGGTCGTGGGTATCTGCGGACCCCACTGTGGCCCGGCCGGGCCCCCGGTGCTCCCCTGTGGCTCTGCCCCTGGAGCCAGCATGTGTCAGCTCTGCGTTCTCAACTGTCCTGTTCCCTTGTCGCCCCACCACATGGCTCCCTCTGGGAGGAAGGTGCCAAAGCTGATGTTCTCTCGCAAGGTAAGGGCCTGCGTGGCCGGTAGAGCCCATAGTAGGGTGGGGGAAAGGCCTGAGCCAGCCCAGCTCCAACCAAGGGGCTTTGCACAGAGCTGCCTGGGCCCAGGCCCACCCCCAGCCTCTCCTCTGCCCCTCCCTCCCACCCTGCCAGCTGAGGGGCTACCCTTGGCTCTGGGACCACCCAGGGGAACAGGCTTCCTGGTGCCACCCCAGGCTGTATCCCAGCCCAGCCTAGGCTACCACGCTGCCACGGCAGGTGCGAGTACCCTCTGTGTTGGGCCCAGGGCCTTGGTTGGGCACCTAGAGGCCTGCACACCCCATCCCCACACCTCCCCTCCCTCCGGGAACTACCCAGGCTGTGACTCAGGGCATGCCCAGCCTCGCCTCGCAGGGGCTCCAGACCACCCCCTCGGAACAGAGCTGAGCATCTGACGACCCCCCAGCTGTGCCAAGGCCAGGCTGCATGGCCTGGGTAGACCCCTCCTGTCCCTCAGTCGGGCTTCGTAGAGGTTGTGCAGGCTTGGACACTGGGAATGGCACCGGCTGCCGGGCCACTCTAGCTACAGCCCATCCCTCCTCCCGCTCCCAGACACCAGGGCCCCTCCCTGTGATGTGTGTCCCCCTCCCTACCCGGCTGCAGGGGTGTGTGCACCTGTGTGTGCACACATGTAAATGTGCGTCCGCTTAGGGGTGTATCCCTCAGGCATCGGGAGGGGTGAGAGGCTGGGGGGTGGCACCCCCACCTCTCGTTCCTTCTCTGTGTGAATCCAGTTCTGCAGGGAAGAGGGGTGGCACAGGCCTGGGCAGAGGTGGGGCTCTGGGCTGGGGTGCAGGGAGGAGGCAAGGGGAGCTGAATCAGGTCTGATACGGGCCTCTTGGGGGTTCGGGGGACGCCCTGGGGCTGCACCCTTGCTTGGCCACCCACCCTGTGGGCGAGGGTCAGTCTCAGTTTGCCCATCTGTAAACAGGGTCAATCACCCCACCCTCCGTGGGTGTTGTGAGCTTTAAATGAGTTAACACGTGGCACCTGGCACTCGTCAGTGCTCAGTACCTACTGCCGTCCTGGAGGACAGTGCCAGGTGGCACGCACCCGCCCGCGCACTCCCGGGCACACTCACCAAGGAGGAGCTGGGACAACCCCAGCAGAACCGCCAGTCCTGGGAGGCTCTGTTGTGGTTTTGTTGTTCTGGTAAAATACACGAACACAACGTTCGCTCTCTTAACCATTTGGGAGCGTCCGGTTCCGTGGGGTCCGGTACGTTCACTGTGTCGTGCGAGCTCCAGAACTCTCTTCACCTTGCGAAACTGAAAGTCTGTCCCCGCTAAACAGCGGCTCCCCAGCCCCTGGCAACCACCCTTCTCCTTCCTGTGGCTGCGAATTTGACTACTCTAGGTACTTGCTAGAAATGGAATCGCGCAGCGTTTGGCTTACTTCGCTGAGCGTAGTGTCTTCGAGGTTCATCGTGTTGCGGCAGGTGTAGGAATTTCCTTCCTCTCTAAGGCTGATAGAAAGTGCCTCTCCTCAACACGCCACCAGCAGCAGCCCCTGAGAGGCCCAGGGAGGGGCAAGGGCCAGGGTTTTGCAGGGAGGCTCCCCTCTCAACGCCAGAGCCCCCCATCTGCCCCCTCAGTGCCAACAGCAGCCAGGACCCCTCAGGGCTTCCCCTGCCGTCTGTCCCGTGAGCCCGCCCCTACCATGGGGTCCACGTTTATCTCTCGCAGACTCAATCCCCTGGGGAAGGTCTGCCCAGGGGGCCCCCTGTAACAGCTCCCAGCCTCCCCCTCCCGTGGACAGAGGTCAGGACAGGCTCCGTGGGAGGACGGCCCTGCACAGGGCAGGGTGGAGGCCCTGCCTCACGCCCCAAGGGGGCTGCGGGTGGAAAGCCTGGGCCAGGGCTGGGGAAGACACCTGTCTGGGCACAGAAGTCGGTGGCAGATCAGTTTTATGACCTTCCGGCAGTGCCCACTGGCCCATTCTGCTTCTGGCCAAGTGTGTGGCCACGCAGGGCACCCAGGGACCTGCTGGCGGGGTGGAGAGGGGACAGCAGGGGCCCCATCACAGACCCGGGAACAGCCATTGTCAGTCCCCTCCCAGCCTGGCAGTGCCCCTCTGCCCCTGCCCAGGCCCCTGGGCATCCGGGTCACAGAGGTGGGACCACCAGAGCCACTGTGTTCTGGATAAACATGCCAGAACCTCTGGTGGCCCAAAGATTTGCAAGTGAAATGTGTCAACAAATGTGACCCAATGAACATTTTCAGCTACGACAAACGAATGTACAAGAATTGTAAAAATAAAACACAAGCGTTGAGACACCCCCTGCTCAGCTGGGCCGCCAGGTTCTGCAGGATAACTCTGCCCTCCAGGCACTTGGCAGGAGATGGCGAGAGGCCGGGATGAAGGAGCTGGGCTTGGAAAGGCAGCCTCATGGTGCACACAGGGCTGCTGAGACGAGAGCCCCATCCTAGAGCCGGCCCCACAGTGCAGGGCACAGCTCAGGTACCCCTGTCTGCCCTCAGAGACTTCTCTGGCGTCTGCCCAGGGCCTGGCGTGTGGAGGGAGGGAGCAGGCGCCCTGCCAGGCCCACATCTGAGTTACCTCCATCACTCCACCCCAACCCAGCGAGTTGGAACTATTAACCCCTTTCACAGATGATAAAGCTGAGGCTTAGGGCACACAGTGACTAATCCACGTCCCCAGCTAGTAAGTGCAGGCGCTGGGGCCCGAACCCCAGCCAGCCTGGCCCCCAAACCCAGGGTAGGGGGCCTGGGAGAGGACCCTGAGGCTCCCTCGGAGGTGGGCCTGGTCTGGGCCGAGCTGCCTCCCTGCCCGCCCAGTTGGGTAGAGAACTTCCAGTTCATCTTTGAATCATGCCCTGGGGCCGCCGTTTCCACCCTACAGATGCCACCACTGCCTCCCTACATCCCTAGGTGCCCTCTCAGAAGGAAAATGCAATTTTCAGAAACAAGAGCCTGCAGAGGTCAGCTAAGCCCCTACCTGTTTATGGTCCCATTTGGTCCCTGGCTTGCACACGTGGCTGAGCTTTCGGAAGGGACTGGAAGCAGAGTGGGCAAGGGCTGCCATCTTGTGGAGGCCCCTGCTCGGCCGTCGGCTTGTGTGGCTCTGTGGACTGGCTGGAGCCGTGGCAAATCCAGAGATGGGGCCTGGTCTCACACAGTCTCCTGGGGCCCTGGCCACGTTCCCCGGGCCACACAGGGAAGCGAGTGGATGCACGGACAGAGGGATTCGTGGATTTAGGGTCTGTGGGGGAGGTCACAGTGCAGAAGGCCATGTTTGGAAAGCCAGGGAGGGGAGTCGGGCAGGGGGAAGCGCCAGAGCACAGCAGGGTGTCGAGGGCTTTTCCAGAGGAAGGTGAGTCACCTGGCCTCAATGATAAGAAGAAATGAAAGAAAAGACTGTCCCGATAAAGACACCCATGACAGCTGCCCTGACAGCTGCCCTGGGCCAGGAGGTTTGGGCGGGGAGATGGCACCCGCACTGAGCCAGCCCCACTCCTCCCGTCTGGGGGTGGGGCCAGGGGCTTCTGTGAAGAGGGCCATGAATGGACCCAGCCAGGAGACCCAGGGGACAGGGACGTCTGCTGACCCAAGGCACTGTTCAGAGATTTCCAATTCACACCCTTTGCTGTGCTTCCCTGCGCAGGGCCTGAAGCCGATGGACCACAACGGGCTGGCGGACCCCTACGTCAAGCTGCACCTGCTGCCAGGAGCCAGTAAGGTGAGGGCTCAGGCCTGCACCGGCTGTGCCCACCGGGGCTGGACTTGGGGTGCCCAGGGAGGCCCACCGCTCGCACACGGACCCTCAGAGCCCAGGCAACCGATGGGACCTCAGCCACTCACCTCCACACAGAGCACCCAGGCAGCCCTGCCCCGCCGCCCCGGGCCTCCCAGGGGCCTCAGGAATCAGCATTACCACCTGCTGTGCTGCAGAAACCCCCACCTCCCCCCAGAGAATATCCAGGCCAGCAGTTTCTAAGAAGCATTCTCAGCTGGAGGTTAAAATTAGGTGCAAAAAAGGGCTCTGTGGGCCAGGCGCCATGGCTCACGCCTGTAATCCTAGTACTCTGGGAGGCCGAGGCGGGCGGATCGTTTGAGCTCAGGAGTTCGAAACCAGACTGAGCAAGAGCGAGATCCCGTCTCTACTAAAAATAGAAAGAAATTAATCGGACAACTAAAAATACATAGAAAAAATTAGCCGGGCATGGTGGTCCATGCCTGTAGTCCCAGCTACTCGGGAGGCTGAGGCAGGAGGATCACTTGAGCCCAGGAGTTTGAGGTTGCTGTGAGCTGGGCTGACGCCACGGCACTCTAGCCCGAGCAACACAGTGAGACTCTGTCTCAAAAAAAAAAAAAAAAGGGCTCTGTGGTCAAATAACATTGGGAAAATTGTTAAACAGGTTCTTTTACTGCATGACTTGTCAGAGGCTTTGATGTGTTGCTGGAAATGGGCTGTTCTTCATAAGGGGGAGAGGGTGGACAGTGTCTGCCCAGTTTATTTGACCACAGAGCCCTCGTTCCCATGCCGGACGACCCAACAGGCAGCCCACACACATATTTAGGGCACCAGCAGGACAGGCGCATGTGGGAAAGGACAGGAAACACTGGCGTCAGACACAAGCACCGAGGCGACCTCCAGCCCTGGAGAATCAGAACTTGATTAGACGTCCTCGCGTGTTCTTACAGCTCGGTGTTGTTTTATTTTTAAGCTCCTGGGGCAGAGCCTGAGTTGACGTGGGGCCTACGTGTGTCGGGCCGGGCTCCCCAGAATGGGCCGTTCCTCCTCCTCGCAGGGAGGCGGGGCTGGGGAGGGATGGCAGTGCCCCACCACCGATGCCCGGAGAGGACACCGGCTCCCTACTCGGGCTTCAGTGTCCTCACGTTGCAGACGAGGCTCAGGGACGTGAGGGCCAAGGGTGAGCGTGACCAGGGCGCCTAGAGTGGGCAGCACCTGGCTGCTGGGATGCAGGGACCTGCCCACGGACTCGCTGACAGAGGGCAACGTTTTATAAAGAGCAGTCTCCTTGTAAACAAGCTTCCGACAACAGCGAGAGAGAGATGGAGGGAGGTGTTCCTCTGCCCTTCTGCAGTGGGGGCTGGCGCTCACAGCGGGTCAGTACCTGCTGGGCACACAAAGCTGGGACTGGAATCCCGGGCTGTCTGCCCAGGTGTGGCAGACGTCAGAGTGAATCAGACACAGAGCTCAGAGTCCAGTGGGGCCGGACAGGGCACTAGCATGAGGACCAAGAGCTGCGGAAGCACGGAGGAAGGTGTGCAGGCAATGTTCCGGAGCGGCCAGGCACCCCGCATGGCATTCCCAGGAGAGGGGGGGCTTCCGGGCAGGCGCAGCCTGTGCAAGGCAGGGCACGCCCTGGGAAGGGGAGGATCGAGTTCCACAGCCAGGCTCCCGACAGCCTGGCTCCCAGGGCCGCCTGCGGAACACCCCCCATCCCACCAGGGGCCTGGAGGCGGCCCCCCTCCAGTGTAGCTTCCCACGGCTGCTGCAGCAGATGACCACAAACTTAGTGGCCTAAAACAGCACACTGAGCACCTTACTGTGTGCGGGCTGGAAGTGCAACGCAGGTTTCACTGGGCTAAAACTCAAGGTGTCGGCACATTCCTTGTGGTGCCCCGAGGAACAATGTTTCCCAGCCCTCTCCAGCTCCCAGAGACCGCCCGCGTTCCTTGGCTCGTGGCCCCTTCCTCCGTCTTCAAAGCCAGCCACGTTGCATCTCTCTGGGTTCTTCCTTAGTCACATCTCACCCTAACTCTCTTCTCCTGCCCCCTCTTCCACGTGTAGGGACCCCTGTGACTGCATCGGGCCACCCAGATACTCTAGGACACTGTCGCTGTTTTAGAGTCAGCTGGCTGAGAACCTTCACTCCGTCTGCAACCTCGGCGCCCCTCTGCCACGTCAGATACACGTTCACTCACGGGTCCCAGGGATTGGGACGCGGCCGTCTCTGGGGACTGTGACTCCGTCTTCCACACGCTTCAATGCTAGTAAGGTCATTTTTTCTTTCCCCAGGCCAATAAGCTCAGAACAAAAACCCTCCGTAACACCCTGAACCCCACGTGGAACGAGACCCTCACTTACTACGGCATCACGGACGAAGACATGATCCGCAAGACCCTGCGGTGGGTGAGGCCTCGGCCACCCGCTCCCCACCCCACCCCGCCCCGCCCCTCCTGCCCATGAACACCCCCACCAGACTCGGACCGTGGAAGCAAATCGGGGGCGCCCGGGGCAGCATCTGAGGCGTGGCCATGCCTCTTGCCCGCAGGATCTCCGTGTGCGATGAGGACAAATTCCGCCACAACGAGTTCATCGGGGAGACGCGAGTGCCGCTGAAGAAGCTGAAGCCCAACCACACCAAGACGTTCAGCATCTGCCTGGAGAAGCAGCTGCCGGTGAGTGGCGGGGCCCCTCCAGCCACAGCCCTGCGGCCCCTGCGAGCTCGAGCTCAGGGCTGGGAGGACTCGTGAGGCCTACGGTGCCCCTGGCTTGGTGGCAGGTGCTTCCTGCCTGCTGGAGGCCAGGTGACCAGGCTCGATTCTCTACCTGATGTGTGGGCCGCAGGTCGGGCCTTGGGCAGAGGAGGGGGCAGTCCCCAGGTTTGGGGCCTGAGCTCCTGAAGGACAAGATGGCCGTCACTGCTCTGGGAGGACCTGGGCAGGGCAGCTGGGGGACGGGACACTCTGGAGCGCAATTGGAGCAGCTTAGACTCGAGGTTCCTGTGAGGCACCCAGAGGAGACAGAAGATAATTCTTTCCTGGAAATTGCAATTGTTCGAAAATTATGTCAGAACAGATTTTACCTCCTGGCCAGCTGCAACAGCTGCGCCCAGAGTCTTGCTCTGTTTGTCCCACTTGGCTCCCAGCCCTCCCTTCTGTCTACGGCCTTCGCCTGGCTCGGAAGGGCCAGGAGGGGCTGGCCAGGGGTCCCCAGGGCCCCGGGGCCCAGGGCAAGAGACACGCTGGGCCCTCAGCTGCCCTGTGCTCAGGACAGGCCCAGTCCCCTCCGCGGCATGTTATCCCCGGGAGGCCTGAGCAAGGGGGAGCCAGAGAGCAAGTTAGCCTGCGGCGATGCTTCCTGCTGGAATCTGTGTGAGCCCCACCCAACTCTGTCTTTTTGCATAACTTGATCAAATTTCAGTCCCTTGTCACATTCTCTCCCACTCATAGACGTTCCTGGGACAGATATAACCTTTTCTGTTTTATTATTAGTCACTAACCACAGGTAACCCAGTTTTTGCAAATGATCAATGTCACTTAGGAAAGGCGACATCGGCAGCCCCTTCTGTGGTTGTTCTGTGTTGCTGAGTTTTGATCACCAGCATAAACACACAACTGTGTGGGTGTGGGGGTGTGGGCGTGAGCCTGCCTGTGTATGTGTGTGTGTGTGCGTGTGTGTGAGGGCGTGTGTGTGTCTGCATGCATGAGTGTGTGTTTGGAAGAGTGTGTGCATGCCTGTGCATGGGCATGATCAGGGCATCTCTGAGCCTTCCCTGGATTTGCTACGAGCTCATTGGTGCTGTTCCGGGACACACAGCGACCACAGGAGTGCAGTTTAAGACAACCAGTCTGGCAGTAAAGACACAATTTGGTGGTACGTTTTAGATTTTACAGTCCGTAAACATGCATGGTTCTAAGTAAATGTTGAACAATGCCCAATGGTCTCCATGCAAAACAACCCAAAGTATGATATCCCACCCCTGAGCTGGGTGCGGTGGCTCACACCTATAGTCCCAGCTGCTTAGGAGGCTGAGGTGAGAGGATTGTTTGAGCCCAGGAGTTTGAGACCAATCGGGACAACATAGCAAGACCCCCAACTCTTAAAAAAACCCCATCCCTGAAACAAATGCTTAAAAAATCCCTGCTCATTTATATTATTTAATTTTCACATAACACACAAACTGGCACAAGGGCCACAGCTTAGTGACGCGCTCACCTACAGAGCCCTATGCCAGAGTGGCAGATAGTTAAATCTCACACGCCTAGCCTGACCCACTGGTAACAGCTGCTTGGGCACTGTGTTGAGAAGGATGCTGAGGCTGCATTTGAGCTCAAGGTGAATGCTGGGATCAATTAGCCGTGTCCCCTCTGGGTGTGGGAGTTGGGGAAAGGTGGCCCATGGGTCATGTGTGTGTCCTCCCTCCCTTCCTTCACCTCCCAGGAGTCTCATCTCCAGAGAGGTTTAGATGTGGCCACGTGGGGACTCAGTTTCGTGCCAGGCAGAGCAGCTGTGGGCAAAGGGGTGTGGCTGGGACTGCGTGGGAGAGGAGCCTGGCGGAGGGTCCTAAGTAGGGGCCCTTGGGGACATGGGGCTCAGGCTGGGTGTGTGAGTGGGCAGAGGTCATAGGAGAGGGGGTTCTGGGTGTGCGGCAGCCAGAAGGAAGAGACTGGTGGTCTCCAGAGAGCAAGGAATGGAGACGCTTCAGGCTAGTGTAGGGTGGGGAGGCCAGATTTAGAGGCCCGGAGTTGACGTCTGATCCTAGAGGCAGGCACCGGTGGCCACTGGAGGGGACTGGGCAGCTTCCCACCTGTTCCCAGCTTCCCCAGGGTTGGGAGTGTGTCCAAGTTCTGTCTTGGGGATTCTCCCGAAGGGGGTTACCTCTAGCTCCCTGAGAGGCTCCAGGAAGCACTTTTGGGGGCCTGGGGCCAGGGTGACCCCTTACCTCCCACCAGGCTCCAGTTGGCCAGGGCAGACCTTTTGGCCTTTCTCTGAATCCCCCCAGGCGGGAGTTGCTGGCATGAGGCAGAACCCAGAGGGACCATCTGTGAGTCTGTTCCCGCCATCATTAGGACAAGTGCCAGAGCCTGGCCCAGCCCTGGCGGCATAAAAACGACATAGACAGAGTCTTATCTTCAAGGAGCTTAGAGGCTAGGGGCAGACACATGGGCAGCAGGTGGCCACGCCATGCTGCGGACAGGAGAGCACATGGACAGCCGACCATGGAGGGCCAGGGAGGCCCCCAGGCTGGTGCCGCCTGAGCTGAGCCCAGTCCCAGAAGGACCAGGAATTGATCAAACAGAGGACGCAGAGGAGGGCACCCACCGCAGGTACAGCTCGGGCAAAGGCACAGAGGTGTGACACGGCCTCAGAGCCCAGCAACTGGGGAGGAGGTTGGGCCAGGCTGTGGGGGGGACAGAGCAGAACTCGGTCATCAGCGCGAGAGCCGCCGCAGACAGGACGTGACTGAGGTTTTATTAATGGACACTGAGGTTTGAATTTCGTACAGTTTTCATGTGTCATGAAACACTGCTTTTCATT